AATATTCGAGGCTGAATTGGAGCTCAGGTATTCCTGACTCCAGGCCTATTGCTCTATCCTTTGTACTACAGTGATTTGCCCAGGGTTACACAGCTAATATGTGTTAGAGGAAGGACATGAACCCAGGCCTTTCTGACTTTAAGATCACCTCTTGCTACCTTGACATGCCATTTCTTTTTTTTTTTTTTGGCTAGGTAATGGGGTTAAGTGACTTGTCCAGGGTCACACAGCTGGTAAATGTTATGTGTCTGAGGCTGGATTTGAACTCAGGTCCTCCTGAATCCAGGGCTGGTGCTCTATCCACTGCTCCACCTAGCTGACCTGACATGCCATTTCTTAACCAGTTTTTTATTTTTTAAGGGAGCAAAAAGCAAGTTAAGACCATGACATTTCTATCTTGCCATCCCCTATAGCCTTATCTATCATTGGCCCTGTTTATTTTTCTATATCATGATGGTACCTGGGCCAGCCAGCACTCATTACCTTTCTGAACTTCTGAATCAACCAGTCAACAAATATTTACTGAGGCCCTACTATGTTTGAGGTACTGAAAGGAGGATTAAGTTATCTTCTGATTGTGGTGGAAAATACCTAATATGCTTTGAAGGCCAGTGAGTAATCTCAGTAGCTATGCTTAATAATAATTATTGTTATTATCTATACCTAGGGGGGAAAATGGTTGGTAAAAGCTGTCAGTTTCACTGAAATGGAAATAGCTCCATGGTTTCCTCCTCCAGAAGTAAGAATGAACTGAGTTCATTGGTCTCCAGAGCAGGCGAACCATGGGCCCAGAGGAACTCAGGGAAGAAAATTCAGTAAAAACAGGGAAAATAGCCCTGTTCTGCTTCAAAGGGAGCGAAGCCTTTGAAAGCTTGGCAGGGATGCTTTGACAGAGGGACAAGTATATGTCTGTGTGAGGGGGGCATGGAAATAGAAGCAGCTGTTGTATTGAATGCTCAAAATCTTCAGCAGAGTGGAATTTAACAGCACTGATAGAGAGAAAATGCCTTCTTTCACCCCAGAGCAAGGCTGTGAAAGAGAAAGAGAGAGACAAACAGAGAGAGACAGAGACAGAGAAACCAAGAGAGACAGAGAAATTGAGAAAGATAAACAGAGACAGAGACAGGGCTTTTGATGCAGAGATGGAGAGAGATAGAGATAGATGGGACAGAGGAATACAGAGACAGAGAGATATAGAGAGCAGGGGGAGACAGCAACAGAAAGGAAATGACTGAAAATTCCATGTCACACTTAATCTCATTTGAAGAGTAACCCTTTCTCTTCACTGGTAAGGGAAGAATACTGGAATCCATGAAATGAGAAGGGAAAGCTCAGAAAAGAACAAAGAAAGAGCTTTTTCCCACTGGAGAGGACATTTTCTTAGGTGATCTACCAGGTTACTACACTGAGCACAGAAGGGGCTCTAGGGGAAAGAGAAAGGCATCCTGATGCCTAGACATACCAGGTTTAGATCAGAGCTACTGCCCCTTTCATTGCCTTCTTCCCTGAAAGGATTCTAAGATCATCTCTTCATCCTAAAGCCCCCTCACAAGGCTTTCCTGAAAAGTTCAAGAGCCTTCTCATCTGATGCATTTATGCCACTTCTGGCCCATATTCCTGACCCAACTCATCCTCTTCCTGAAATTAGACTCATGTAATGCAGCGCGCACACACACACACACACACACACACACACACACACACACGCATTGACTCTGGGACCCAAAGGAGACTCCAACTGAACTTTCAGCTGTCTATGACGGTCCCTCTTTGTGTTAAAATCTGAAATCCTTGGCTCCCTATATGTATTGCTTCCCATCTATAGAACACCTGAACAGGTGGCTATGTCCCTTGCAATTCTTCAGCAGACCCATAAATTTCAGAGGTAGTAACTGAGACAAGGAACTTCTCCTGAGCCTCTGCATCAGAAAGGGAAGAAGAAAATCTCTGGAAGCCACTAGCTCGACTGAAATCCAAAGAGTGGAAGACATTAGAAATAGCATAAAGTTGATTGTCTCTTAGAGCCTTTTGTGAACTCGGTGAGGATTTTGAAATATATTCATAATTCCTTGGGTGGGGGGAGAAAACAAGAGATTTTTTGGATGTACAATTTGGTGCAGGAATGTTCAGTCCTGGGAAGGGAGAAACTCTGATCTTGTCAAAGAATGGCTCTGTTTAAAATAGTCCAAAATAAACAACCTCCTAACCAACTAAGAAAAATGTCATATTCACCGTCACTCCAATCTCTGTGATCAAGCTAGTTCCTCGGTTCCAGTACCACCTTCTTGTTCCTCAGCCACCTCTCCAGTGTTCAGAGTGTGGCCTACCACCCTGGGAAGCGCTGTTCGATCAGAGGCCTGGGCAATTACCAGCATGTCCCTGGCCTTGTGCACCCCACCCTTACTGCCTCTGCATTTGGCCACAAGTGGGATGAGGATGATGGCTGCTCCAAGAGACTGTGACTGGATGCAAGGTGGAGCACAGCTTCCCTAAGGCAGTGGTGCTTGAGCCCCCCCCCCCCAGTGCTAGGAAGAGGGGGGTCTTGCAGGGGCCAAGCCCACTGCTTCTGTCTGCATCTCACGCCCCTTTTGCAGTGTTGCAAGTCAGAACCTCTTTGCGGATGATTCAGAGGGAGTGTGGATGACTTGGGAGAGAGTTCAAGCCAATACATTTTGGGATGGGGGCGACAGGAAAAGCCGATTTTTAATTAAAATATCTTTTTCTCTTTTTAATGCACAAATAATAAACCTAAGTTGCCCCCAGGTCCCTGGGCCTTTAGGGAACTATAAAATGCTTTAAAGATGCAGTCCTTAGCCTTGGCAATTGGAATCCTTAGAGTAACATCCATTTGTGCAGACAGACTCATTTCAGAGTATCTCTCCCCCCTCAGACTATGCAATTTCTGTTTTCCCAACCTATCCTACCTGTCTCCGACCATCTAACTTCAATCCAAGGCAAGCAAACTACAAATATGCTACTTTCTCTAAAGAGACCCTAATTCCTTCTGCTAACCTTCTCTTTTGGTGGCTAAGGGTACCATCCATGCTTAATTAAGGAGAAGTCTGGCCACTGTTAATGACTAGCTGCATGAAAAGCTCTTCTCCCCCCCCTCCCCCCTCCCCAGGGGGGTGTGTGCATGCGGCTTTCAAAGCTCCCCGATTAATTTCCTGATATTGATTTTCTGGCTTGGGGCTGGCATATAGTATGCAGGAGAGAACTCCGCTGCAGAAAACGGTAACAGGCAGCGGCTGGGATTGAGAAAGGGCACCGAATGCAGTATGCGTCAAACAGACCATCGCTCAATGAAGTCACTTAGCTATTCAAAACATGTTCAGCCATCACTCAACCGTTTGCACCAAGAAGGGGGAAGGGGTGGGGGAGGGGGAGGGGCACAGGGAAGGGGGCTGGATTCGCGCGGCTTCCCGGACAAGAGCAATTCCAAAGAGCAGTTTTGCCGAGACGCTAGGACTGGAGCGGCCTTTATCCTCCCACTTCACTCTTCTTTTACACCCATAGCCTGCTTGCAGACCCCGCACCCCCACCCCCGCTGCCTCTCTGATACCCGCATCACCAGCCAAGGGCTGATTTGAGAAAAGCTATTCTGCAGCAGTGACCACTCAACACTTTTCAAAGCAGCCCCCCTCTCTCTCTTCTCCCCTCCATCCAGTCCTCAGATCAGCAAAACGGTGCTTAGGTCTTTGAACACACATACAGAGGTGTGGATCTCTCTGGACACATAGCTTACACACACACACACACACACACACACAAATGCTCAACCCCCCAGTTTATTTCTCAGTGCAGATTGTATGACCCGCAGGAATGTTTTCCGTGTATAACTGTGTGCCTGTTCCCAGTGCACAGGCTTGCATCTGCGTCCTGTACTTTCAATCCTTATGACCACAGACCACCCCACTCCACAACACACACACACACACACACACACACACACACACACACACACACATGCACTCCAATGGCACTACAAAATAACACATTGAAAGGCAAACTGCTGACACTCCCGCCCCCGGTTCTTCACCTCCCCCCACCTCCCTTTGCCCCCGCCCCCTTCCACAATGTCTGATTTCAGGATGTGGCTGCAATGCTGAATCTCGCCTTGTTTCTAACTATCAGACATGTCAATCTCAGTGGAAGTGAATTCCGCTCCCTCGAACCGAGCCGGAGGTGAATTACTGCTCAACAGAACTTGGCCTTATTTTCTGCGAGAGACTTATTTATTTTTAGGTTTTTGTCAGCGTTAGCGCGGCCACACGCGCACACACACACACACACACACACACACACACACACACTCAGCCACCTCCAACAATCGGGCCCGTTCACAGACATTACGAAATTTTCTTGAACTCCGTATGAGATGAGGGGAATCTTGAGGGTCTGCCGAACAAGGCTTCTTAGAAACCACAGAATGATGGAAGGAAGAGGGAAGGTTTGCAGGTGAAGACGTGCTTGGGACTTTATTATTTTATGGGGGGGGAGGGAGAGGAGATGACAGAGGTAAAGAAAGGGGAGGCAGAGTCCTTTTGGACCTTTTTTCATGAAAACATGACCAGCTAGGAGAGAAGGAATTGTTTTTATGTTATAGGCAGCTTAAAACCAAGGGGATTTTTCCTTTTCTTCCTTGCCCAGGCAGTGACAACCCAGAACCCAGAGCGGCGGCTCACCCAGACGCTTTTTTAGCGGCTCTCTTGTTGTTTTCACTATACATAGATTATTCCAATGAGGAGATTGGGGTGGGGGGAGGGAGTGAGAGGAGGAAAGAGAGTAGAGCATGGCTTTCTCTGAGCGCTTTCCTTCTAACTAACCCAACCAACCTTGATCCAAGGCAGGCGGAAGGAATGAAGTAAGAAAATGGTGGAATGTGCAGGGATTTATCTGGAGGAGGGTAGGGAGGGGTGGGAATGAGAGAGAGAGAAGAAAACGGGGGTGGGGTGAAGGGTGGGAAGGAGGAGGGTGGGAGGAGATCCGGATTCAAATACCTTCCAGGCAGCAGGTTCTCCATAATCCAGAATGGGTCATGACTTCTTCGTTCTTTTTGCTGGTTTCATTCTCACTGACACTTTTAGTCTTGCAAACCCCTCTGGAGTACAGCCAGTAGTCGGTTCCCACAGCTATGGTCATCAGGCTGAAGGCAGCGAAAGCACCAACGGTGGTTAAAAGCATCTGAACACCTCTGTCAAACAGCCCCATAATTCTTCATTATATAAATACCCCAAACTGACTTCGGATTCTTGGGAGTGAGAGAGAGAGTGTGTGTGTGAGAGAGTGTGTGTATCAAATCAAAGAATAATAACTCCACTAAGAATATAATGGGTACGTGTGTGTATATATTATATAGAATATAAAAAAGGGAGGTAAGAAAGCCCAAGGGAAAACTGTAAATTATAAAGACCACACGGGAGGAGAGGCTTGCCTTTTGAGATCAGAGACTGTTCCAGTTGCAGTATCAAAAAGAAAAAGAAAAGAAAAAGAAAAAAAGAAAGAAAAGGAAAAATAAAAAAGACACCCCCCACCCCCCCAAAAGGAGATGCCTTAATCCCTTTTCCTAAAATTCTGGTCTCCAGTTTCCATATGTGATAGCTAATTTGGAGATGGCTTCCACAGGTTCATCCTTAACACAATCTCTCATGACCAGGACCTAGACAGTTAGAGATGGTTAGAGCTGGGATGCAACCTTCCGTCTTCGTGCTAAGCTCTGCAGCCTGCGCCATGAAAATCCAGTTATCTTTCTTGGGGTCGCTTGGCTCTCGCTTTCTCAAACCAGACAGCCTAGTATACGGTAAGCCCTTGATTTCAGCTGAACAGGTGCGGAGCTCTTGCCTTCCATGGCTGTCCCCCGGGCAGCAGCGGCGGCGGCGGTGGCGGTAGCGGACGGCGGCGGCGGCGGCGGCAGCGGCAGCGGACGGAAGCAGTAGCAGCCGCGGCAGCGGGAGCAGCCCTGAGAGCGATTTTTCTTTGTAGCAGTCGGTAAATCTTGTTTCAAGTAAGGGGAGGGAAAAGGGGGGTCTTCTGGAGAATCGAGACGGATTTCCCTCCCCAGATCCACGAAGCTCCTGGAAATAAGGGGACGACTGTCTCGCCGCTGCAGGATTTGCCACCCGGCTTTTTTTTCTTTTTGTGGGCTCCCCTCCCCACCCCCCTACTCTGGCTCTGACTCCCCTTCTTCGTGGCTTTCCCACCTACTGCATTAACATGGTGCTGAACTGGACAGCTCCCCTGCGCCGATTACTCCGCGGTGCTGGAGAACAGCTCCTTTGCCTCTTGCCCGGGATGCTGCTGGGAAACCGGGCTAGGGGGGGTGGGGAGGGGGAGGGGGGACGGGAGGGGGGGGGAACAAGAGCTTTCCTGCCTAGATCCTTTCCCTCCAGTATCTCCAGTACGATAGTAACCCTCCTCTGTTCCAAGGAGGAGGAAGGGAGGGGTAGAGGGCGATTAAGCCTTCCTTCTTATCCTTTTCAGCTTTTACCCCCTTTCCAAATCCTGGAATGATTGCGCCCTTAGGCTCCAGAGGCTTAGCGGAAGGCGTAGCTAGAGATGGCTCTCTCTCTCTCTCTCTCTCTCTCTCTCTCTCTCTCTCTCTCTCTCTCTCTCTCTCTCTCTCACACACACACACTCTATTTCTCTATCCCCCTCCCCCATCCCAGTCTTTCTTCAGCCCAGCCTCCTTCTTATTCCAGCCATACGTGCCCTGAGCTCTAGATACTACCCTCACATCAGACTCAGAAAGGCATTAAAAAACAAAACAAAACAAAACAAGAAAAAAAAACCCAAACAAACTTCAATTAGTTGCTCCTTTGCCCAATAGGAGATGAAAACATAATGTGGACGGGTAATTACAAACTTGATTTAAACAGAATGAATATTTCCACATCAGCATTTAAATTTTTTTTTTTCAATTTATATCCCCCCTTGCTCCTCTCTCATTTCTTTGTCTTTTTTTTTTTCTGGCCATGGTGTGCTCATCTCTGGCTGTGTGTCTGTCTTTGTAGCTTTCTGTGAAACCCCAAATTTTGTTCCCACAAGCAGACATTTTGGAAAGATTATTCATGAAGAGGGTTGGGGGAGAACGGCTCTTTAAAAGAAAATGTATTTTTATTTTAAGCATAAATATGCTTGTAGGAAGCTGATTGGGAATCTGACTCCACAGTCATTAAGAGTATTCTAAGTTTCCCATGTCATTCATAATCCAGATTCAAGAGTAGAGAAAAATCTTTACAGTCCAAACCCCCAGGCATGTCACAGCACTTTCTCTCCTCAGCAGGATCATTAGGCTGGGCTAATTACAAAAGTCCTCTGTCCTTCTTCTATGTGCAACTTTTCATTAATGTAACCCCAGGGGAGGGAGGAGGAACAGAGGAGAGAGAGAGAGAGAGAGAGAGAGAGAGAGAGAGAGAGAGAGAGAGAGAGAGAGAGAGAGAGAGAGAGAGGAGCACATTTAATTCCTGCTGCTGCTCAATTAATATTTCTTTGATCAGTTCCACAGCTAAGAGGACAAATAAGCAGAAGGGTCACTGTTGTGGTTGTTTTGTTTTGGCTAGAGAGGGATGTGAATGTACTAAAACAGCTGGAGGGTTTAAGACAATTGCAATTTCATAACTCTTATCTTTCTACTTTTGCTTCTCTCATTTCCTCCTCCTCACTTCCCCCCCACACCTTTGCTGTCTCTTGAGGTCACGTGTACAAGGCAATCTCTCTGAGGTCTGATGAACATCAGAGTTTATAAAGGAGTGAATTAGAAAGAGATTTCATGTGGCATAATATTCTTTTCCTATGAGACCTCGCCTGTCCCCAGTCCAGTTTTGTGTTAATCTGCAAAGGCTCTTGGATGGTTTTGCATGGAGTTTAAACTGCTGCCGTAGCTCCTTCTTAACTGACTACCTGTTTCTTCCCTCTGCCTGATACATTCTCAGTCACACTTGTTTCCCCTTTCTCTGAAGCTCAAAACCAATAGAATCAGAAGTAGACTTCCTCAGTCCTCTTCAGAGGTTCCCAAATACAGCTTCTTCAAATATACTGTTGTAAAGAGTCCTGGATATATAGTCAGAGGACTTGGGTTCAAATCCTGGGTCTGAGACTTATTGGTTGCATGACCTTGGGTAAATCTTCTTCCTTCCATAGGCCACAGTTTCCTTATGTAATAAATCAGAGATAATGGGGGTGGAAGGGAGGGAGGAGGTTGGATTAGATGACCTATGGGGTTCTTTCCAGCTCTAGATTTATGGTCTTTAAAGTTCTAGACTTCAGCATCTTTCTCTAAGTAATAGTGAGAACAGATGAAGTGTATATAGCACTCTGGGTATAATAGTGTTTTCCTCACCACAATCCTGAGAGTGCAAGGATTATTATACTTATTACCTCTATAACCTTGGTCAAATCACTTAGCTTTTCTGGGCCTCAGTCATCTCGTCTGTAAAATGAAGGCACTGAACTAGTTAGCTCTGAGGTTCCTTCTAACTCTAGGCCTAGAACCTTATGGTTTTCATTGCATGGAGGAGAAAACAGGTTTGAAGAGTTAGTCCAGTTACTTACTGGCATCAGGGGGACTGGAAGGCCTAGTTTCTGTCTGCTAAGACCAAGGGGTCTCTCACAGTACTGAGCATCTTCAGATAAAAGGGAATCTTCAGCAGACTAATGTTTTTTTCCCTAGGAGGGAATCCTAGTTGACCTAGCCTGCTGTGTTTGGAGGAGAGATTTCTGTCCCAAAGAAGGTCCTGCAATCTTCAAAGCAAGATCATCCTTACACAACAGAGTAGCTAGGCTTCAAACAGTTATCTTTCTCACCCCTAACCACTGAGCAGAAAAGGAGCAGGTGGGTCACAGAAGTATAGATTTAAGGCTGGAAGGAATTTTAGCTCTCCTGGTTCAATCCTCTTATTTTGCATATGAGGAAACTGATTCTCAGAATGAAGGTGTCACACACAGATACATGGGTAGCAAACAGTGGTCCAGGGATTCAAATCCAGGTCCTCTGATACTCAATATAAAACTCTTTCTACCTTATTGTGGTGTGCCAATCTCTTTGAGTAGAATATTACTGAAGACAAGGAAAAAAGGTCCTGGGTATGGTCATGGGCAGGGGAATCCATTGTTATGGCCCTTGGGCTAGAGGGATTGACCACTGGACACAGAGCCAGAAGAAAGGGCGCTACAGTGGACAGAGAGAACCTCAGATTTGTACTGAGAGGTTCTAATCCTAGCTTAATATCTGTGTGATCTTGACCAAGTTACTTTTCTCTGGGCCTCAGTTTCCTTAGTTGCAACATGAGGCAGTTGGACCAGATGAACTCTCTGTGTGGTCTGAATCTATGATCCTTGTACCTAGGCCCCCTTCACAAGCTGTGTGACTTTGGGTCTGGTCACCTTTCTGAGCCTCAGTCTCCTCATCTATACTTCTATACAGTCTCCTCATCTGTACAGAGCTAATACTCTGTAAAGCATTTTCAAGGTGAGTGATCTTTGCAGATCCTAAAGTTTTGGCAGCAGATATTATTATGATTAGTGTTATGAATGTGATGACTTTGCCTTATTTAGGCCCATGGCCTTTTAGTCAGACAAGGGCCAGGATGACAAACTCAAAATGCAGATTATAGGACAGGTAACCCACCACATGTTGCTGGAGAACTAGAGAAGGCACAAGTTCTGAGGTCTAGGACTTGAGTTCTGACTCATTCACTAATGTGTGTAATCTGGTCAGTGCAAAGAGCAATCCATTTGGAGTCAAAAGACCTGGGCTCAAATCTGGCTTCTGCTACTCCCTAGTAGTGTGTGACCTTGGGGGAAGTTATGTCACATTTCTGGGTCTGTTTCCTCATCTGTAAAATGAGGAGTTTGGACAAGTTCACCTTGAGGCCAACTTCTGGTGTGGCATTTATGATTCTATGATTCTCTCCTTGGGACTTAGTTCCCTTAAATGGGATGTTCTCCATGGTCCTTTACTAGCCATAAAGTTCAGTGAGTCGAAGGTTCCTTCTAGCTCTCAGACTTTATGGGGTTAAGGTCTCTTCCAGCTTCTATGGTTCCAGGATTCTAGGACCCAGAGGAAAGGGTAGAGGTAGGCAGAGATGCTGAATGGGAGCCTCTGGAGATGCTATGAGAAGCAGAAGTTCTCACCAGTCCTTCCAGACCCTCCCCTGACCCCCAGCCCCAATATGGCTAGAGGAGGATGGCAAGTGCTCTGACCTAACCATTGC